CTATAATTCACAACGTACGTCTCACGTGCTCTACTCAACTGTCAATTACGCATTACATTGTTGTTGTCACGTCTTGACCGTCTTATATATAAAATAATACTGAAATCTAGTAACCTCCCGAGGATTCACGAAGCTTCGAGAATATGACGTTTACTAGCGTCACGTGACCTCCACTGCCGTAACACTGCCCCTTCCTTAGTATTGTTCGTCCCGAACAATAGCCACTTACATTAAACCAATAAACAATTAACAATAACTTAATTAAATGTACAGAATTTACAAACACAAAATTACAATTCAACAAAGTCTCTTAATTTTACGGGACGTATCTTCTTCCGTACTGGTCTCCATCTCGTTGGCTTCTGCTTCATTTTTGAAGTTTGAATGAGAATGATCAGACAAGTGGTAACGCTAGTCACTCTAAATAAGTCTGAAAAAAAGATTATCTTAGCCAAGTCAGTCATTTTTAAATTATTCTCATCGAATAAAAGCGACCACCTATAATCAAACAAGCAAGTACACACCTTGTGTTTGTATTAGAAATGTAATAAAGATTGTTCAATTGTGTTTTACATTGTGTACAATTTCTATTTGATTCTTACGAACTCAGTCATTCAGAGAAATTTAAAATTATTCTGTTATACATATCTTCTTGAATTTCCTATTATTCAACGAACCTATTTCATAACTCTACTTATTTGACCTGAATATGCCACATGCTTCAATGTATGGTATTTTTGTACAAAAGAATTTTCATGTAGAGCAGTTAGTTAAGTGATCTACAACTGGTAACGTCTAGGAAAAATATTCAACACCGATAGATTCACAAAAATATACAAAGAGGAATGTCTCGTGGTGTGTATTGAACTGATAAGAGAAAAGTGAATACTTTATGTAAAACCTCTTATCAGTCCGATGTGTCCCCATTGTAACTTAAATAAAGACCCAAGCATGGCGTGAAAACATCCCTTACTGAATATTAGAATAACGCTTTACGAATTTCGGTCTTGACTTGAACGAAGCAATTATTGTTACTTCCCTGCCATTCTACTGTGTTTTGATATTAATGATATTGTTACGTACAGCGGAAGTGGCGTGACGC